TTGTATGCCTTGTGATTTTTTTCTTGTGAAAGCTGGACATTTGAAATTTACATTATGGTAGCTCTGGAAAACAGATTGTCTCCTATTTTTAGGGTTTGCTGTTTTGTTACTGTTTTCTGTTTTGATCTGTGCCAAGTATCAACCTGAGGTACAAACTTTAAGGTCTTTTTAGGTCTTCTCTGAATCTTTCTTGGGTACGTGCAGTCACTTTGGAATTTTCTTTATCTATGCATTTGTTTTGAATGTCTTGGTCTTGGTCTTTATTTTTGTTTGTTTGTTTATTTATTTATTTTTACAAATAGTTTATTGTCAAATTAGTTTCTTGGTCTTGGTCTTTAATGTCTGGCTCCCCAAATTGGAAAAAGAGTAAAATGAAGACAAGGGGGTTATAAAGGACACTGGCCCTTTAACTTCCCTGGAAGTCACTTTGGCTGGAGGGAGAGGGCACTGAACAGTGGGGGAGGTACAACCGTGGCTGCTCACCTGTGTTCTATACCTATGATCAGAAGCAGCTATCTGTGATCAGAGCACATATCCCTGGTAATTGGGAGTCATGATCCTTTTTCCTATCTTGGCTATAACAAGCTGAGTGTGTGTTGCCCTGGATGACTTCTGGTGGCTGATGGGTGGGGGATGGGCAGCAGTTACTGTGCTAAGAGCTGAAATAGATGGGAACGAATCACAATTTACTATCCAAGTCTTCTGGAAATTGCAAGCCTTTAATAAACCCCCGAGTTCCAACATAGTTCTATCAGACAGACAATTTCCCAATGTACTTATTGACTGTGGGGAGACAGATCTCTGGTTAAATATATTAAATGCTCACCATGTATCCTTTTGCTAGAGTTTCCTCGCCCTCTCTTGGTTACTGTACAAAACTTCTTTAGAAGGTTTTCCAGGAAGGAGATGTGTGTCCTGTTCTCTGAGTTTTTGTTATTCAGTCTTTTATATTTTTATAGCCTTGATATTTGAAATAAAGCTTGGCTGGATATAAACTCCTTTTTTACCTTTTTCTTTCCTGGTTTCTTGAAAATTCTCTGCTTGACTTGCTTTTTATGTTGCTTGTTACGTCCCATGACTGTCTAATTCTCTGTGTTATTTATTTGATCTTTTTATCTGGAAGTCCTGAAGATTATTTTATCTTTAACTTTTATCTTTTTTTTTTTAACTTTTTTTTAAATGTTTTATTTTATTTCTAGGAGAGAGAGAGAGACAGCGTGAGCAGGGGAGGGTCAGAGAGAGAGGGCCACAGACTCTGAAACAGGCTCCAGGCTCTGAGCTGGCAGTCAGCACAGAGCCCGACGCGGGGCTCGAACCCACGAACCGTGAGATCATGACCTAAGCGAAAGTCGGACGCTTAACCGACTAAGCCACCCAGGCGCCCCATCTTTAACTTTTATCTTGTACCAAGATATGTCTCAGATGATCTCAGTTGTCCCTGGTACTTGGTGGATCCTTTCAGTACATTGATTTAGGTCTTTTTAAGAATTATTTCTGTAAAGTTTTTCTAGATAATAGTTTTATTTTTTATTTTATTTTATTTTTTTTAATGTTTTTTATTTATTTCTAGGAGAGAGAGAGAGACAGCGTGAGCAGGGGAGGGTCAGAGAGAGAGGGAGTCACAGACTCTGAAACAGGCTCCAGGCTCTGAGCTGGCAGTCAGCACAGAGCCCGACGCGGGGC